TCACACGGTCGATAAATGCAACACCATGAGTTGGTTTAAAAGCTCTGGATCACTTTTTGATATTTCAAAGGGGTCTTAAATATTGCTCGGAGTGCATGTGTGAAAACAGCTTAAGAAGAGACTTCAAATTGTTGCAGCTTCAAACACAAACACCCTTTTTGAAGTACAGTTAAAATTAAACTGAAGTGATTTAATTGGTTTTGGTTCCTGTGTTGAACAAATCCTTTTTTTCATTTCTTGTACATGTTTTTGACAGACTAAACTAAACTGTCACACTCGTACTTTGAGTTGTCAAACCTTTCAAATGTCAGATTACAGTCTCACTGTATTCCACAGTATTCCCTTTATCTCCTGATACTCTTTTAATACATTTTGTCTTCTGATGTGTTGCTGATAAGATTTAATCAGTGTGAAAAATCATATCTATCTTCCAGGTAAATTATCCCAGTGTTGTATTAATAATGTTGATTGGAAATGAGCCCTTGCCTCTTCATCCAGGCCTGTTTAATTTTGGCAACTTTCAACTCTTCATCCCTGTCCGCTCCTCGTGGTTGATGTAACCCCAAACAAACCGGCAGCTCTCTTGGAACGGGAACAAGACTGTGCTTTCTGGTGCCAAGTTCGAAAAGCTCTCACCTGCCCAAACAAGGCAAACAGAGAGAGTAAACAGCGTAAAACGCTGCTGTAGGACTACTGCCCCCCCCCCCAACACTCTACAAGAGAGGCTGAAATTCTTTGTGCGTATAGATCCAGTCTGTCAGTCCACATGAAATCGAGGACTTCCGCAGCAGATGAAACCTAACCAATCTTCTGAAACAAAACTTTGCACAACTCTGACTTTGTTGAGTCTCCAAGATGCCAAGAGACCCAATTAGCCACAGTAAAAAAAAAAAGCATTATGTAATGAATCTCTCTTGGTCTTTTTGTCCCTTCTGCACTTGCTGTCCATGTTGAAACTTGGATGAAACTGTAAACTGGGAGCCCCTTCTGCTCCGTATATCCAAACTACTTTTTAAAAATTATTTGCAGGAACTAAAGTGAACACTCCTTTTCAAAAGAAGAATTTGCCTTGTTTAACCTCTTTGCATATGAAAAGTTTTGGGTAAATGCAGTGGTTTATCTCTTAAAATCACAATGACTATAATTAATAGCTGAGTCTTAAAGGTCACATATTCTGCTCATTTTTTAAACAGTTTAAATAAGTCTCAGAGCTCCCTAAAACATGTCTGTGAAGTTTCTTGTTCTAAATCCACTCTGATCCTGTATTTGATCATGTCTATAAACCCCTCTATTTCAGCCCTGCTCAGAACAGGCTGTTTCTGTGTCTGTACCTTTAAATGTAAATGAGCTGTGTCTGACCACGCCCCCTCTCTGGAAGGGCTTTCTCGCTCCATGTCCTATTGTTTACGTTGAGAAGGCAGACTCAGAGGGCAGAACAAACACCTAGCTGAGGGAGTGTCACCCACCTGTGGGAGGGGTTACTGCCCTTTGTGATGTCATGAAGGGAAAATCTCCAAACGACCAATTGTGTTGGTGGAATCAATCTTTGTGCATGTCTTTTTTAAAGTAGGATGGTAATCTTCTTCTCTTTGCTGTACATCAGTCGGTCTGGTCTGTCCATGTAGTTATAAAATCCAAAGTGAGCTGTTCCCCAACATGACAGACAGTTCTGTTTGTTGTTCTGTCAGCTGATACATGCCTGTCACAACCGCTGGACCCGTTTCAATCATCTCTGAGTTACAAGTCTCAGCAGGTCTCTGCACTTGATTTCATTTATCACCGGCCTTGAATCATAACCGGCCTGTCACTTTCTCTCCCTGTGATAACCTACTTTAGATGCTCCCACACGCTACAGCATCAAATCTGTCCGTCTGATGATTTGCTCTGGACTTTCATCTCTATCGGCCACTGACTGCCCTCCGCCAAATACAGGGGTCAAATAATTTCAATCTAGGGTTTAATGTAGCAGAGTGGTTCTGTGCATGGAGAAAAACATGATCCCTGGAGGTGTAAAGTAGAGCTCTGCTGCCCTCTATCTGTGAGGAGGGACATAGATGTGATACAGGAATGATGAGACCAACTTCCTCAAAGGGTTGACAAACACGATTTCTACCAACTTTATTGGTGAGGTATTCCATTCTATCATGCCGTAAGAAGATACTGGCAGATACATGGGCATTTCAAAGGGATAGAAGTTTCAGATCTGGGTGTGTCAACATGTTAAAACTTCAAATAGGTTGGGGCGCAGAGGGCCTAGAGGTTAGGTTCCGCCCCATGTAGGAGGCTATAGTCCTCCGAGCGGGCAGCCCCGGTTCTAATCTGGCCTGTGGCTCCTTTTCCTGCTCGTCATTTCCCCACTTTCTCTCTCTCTCCTGTTTCATATTTCATCCACTGTCCTATCAAAGTCAAAAAGCCCAAAAATTCAATATATAAAAAGTTTAAATAGGCAGCAGAAATGCTAAGTTCGGTATATGCTAATTAAAAAGGCGATGCACCTTCACAGGCCAGAGATCCAGCTGTTTTTTGCATGTTTTTTTACTCCTCATTTCCGCATAATCTTTCCTTCTTTTTGGATTTTGAACTCAAAGGACGTGTGCAAATAAAGTCTAATCCAAAACACAAAGAGTTTCTTTAAATCACTGTATCCTCCTCTGACTGCATTGCAATCATGCTCTGTAATCTGTAGTAAAAATAGCTGTTTGCTTTGAGCTCCCTGTGGTGCCGAGTATTATCTGGGTCTGGGTTTTTTTTTTTTTCCAACAGTGCAGTCACTTCTCATGAAGAGACACAGGAGAATATTGCTGCTACTGCTGCTGCTGGCCTTGTCAGTGCAGGGGGGGTTTGCTTTAAGACGATGATGGGGACACTGCTGGTACACCTTCCCCTCCCTATGGTCCCTCACTCGCTCACTTTCAAACACACTCGCACTGCCTCGGCTCCCAAGGTGTCCCTGTGGGAAAGACCTCAGCACTTTATCAAGTCCCCACTTCCCACCGAGCCAAATTATGCTGTGCCGAGATGTGCGTTTCCCTTTTTATGTTAATACTTCCTATCAGCTGAGCGTGTGTCAGCATAAACTTCTTGCTCTCCTGCTTAAATTCAGATTACCACATTACCCGGACTTAAGCAGGATTAGGCTGAGGCGCCTTAAATGAACTTCACCTCATTCATGATAGGAAAAGGGCTCAATCAGCAGAATGCATTATGTGCAGCGTGTTAATAAAAGAGTTTTATTTGGATGTGATTATGTAAGGAAGAGTTCATCAGCGAGGTACACAGTCTGAGTCAGCACATCGTATTGATTAATTTGTGCTGCTGAGGGAAGTTGAAGGTTGACATAATTGATTGTCAGAAGTTTTTGGTGGTCATTAAGACTCCCAGAAGTGCAGAGAAGGACTGCAGCTGCATGCTAATCTTTCATTCAGAATGAAAGGGAACTGCAACCGTTGAATTGTTGTGTTTCATACCGTGCAGTGCAGCAGTGTCGGAGAGGAGAGGACTTTATGAAATTACACTCTCAGTTTAAGGGCTTTTCTGTAGCTTGTATTCACAAAGCTTCCTAAGTACAAAGAGCTGCTTCTAGTTTATTTTCCCATTTTAATTCAACTACAAAGAAATAGACCAAATAGAAGTAGAGATTAGATTACAAAAATATAAAAGGCTGCACAGGAAGTCATCATCACTGCTCCTAACAAAGTTTCCTTCCTTCTACTTATTAGGTTTAAACACTCGTTCATTGCATATTTAAGCTAACTTAAATTATTGTCCATTGCAAGTTGGGACTCGAAAATCCTGTGTCAGTTTTTCCGACTTCAAAATTGTCAAACAGGTCATTCTGCTTATCTGGAAGTGTGTGCACGGCTCTCGCCCGAGATTCCGATTTGGAATTCCGACTTGGCTTGAATGGCAACACACTAAAAGATCTTACATGATTTTAAAGATGTGAGAGAGCCCACACATGACGACAAATCGTGCCAGATTAACAGTTCAGTTCTTAAAGTGTGTGGAGAGTAACTAGATGATCAACCCAGCACACCACACACTAACCCATTCATTCACCAACAACCAGGGTCTCCACTATCAAAACTAATCTTGTGCAGTCAAACGCAGCTTAAGAGTAAACAAACTTGACAGTCAAGCTAAGTAGCTAGCTGTTAGCTGGTACATCCATTCAATAAACATTTTGGTCCAACTCCTTTCCTCATCAGTTGGGTTGTGGTTTGTTTTACAGGACACGTTGCTTAAACATTCATGTTGTTGCAACAAGTTGGTCCTGAATTTATGACGTCCATTTGACTTTATGCTGTGTGCTGTCGTCGCCATGGTAATGTTTGTTATGCTTCTTGCTTCATTCAGCTTTCTGTGCTGAGTCTGTGCCCGGCCGTCCTCGGTGTTCTCCTCACACAGCAGGATTTTTCTAATCACCACAGGAGAATCTGCCAAGATCATCTTTGGACCCATCTGTTAATCGGGCCTTTTCTGACTTTAGTCGGAAGGGGGGAAATCTGGCCCAGAATCGGCCCGGTTATCTTGTAGCTACGACTCATTGTTAGGATTCGTTAAGCTAAGTGAGGAGCTCTGTGAGAGTTTCATGATTGACTGATGATTTGAAGCTCCTATGTGAAGTTTTCAGCTGGTTATGAAACAAAGTGAAATGAATATCGATGCCTCTTCATGACCTACAAAAGCAACCAAGACTATAATTATAACCTGCTGTTTCTATAAAGGATATATTCTATATATATGGTGATACAGCCCACAAACAGATTCTAACTCATTTCCATTCCCTTTCAGTAATAAAAAAAAAAAAGAAAATCTGTATTTGCTGTTGGTTAATTAAACTCTGGTGAAGTGTCTCTTCTCATTTACCGGTTCACATGCTGCAGACTTATTCTTTTGCCCAAAATGTCATTAACTCCCTCCTGGCTTCAACTCACATTTTCATTACTTTGCAAGTCACTTGAAGCGGCTTCACTATTGTGTGTGTCTCTCCTCTCCAGGCTGTCCAACGCCCAGGGCATCAATATCCAAATTCTCGGCACTACCACTATTCTCATGATTGCCAACGTCACTGAAGAGGATTATGGGAACTATACCTGTGTGGCCTCCAACCGACTGGGCGTCCAGAATGCCAGTCTCTTCCTCTTCAGTAAGTACTGACTCTCTCTTGTCTTTTGTTATAGCTTCAAGATGGAAGAAAGACAACTCATGACACATTTAGGGATTTGGAACATATAAATCATTGAGCGTGAAATATTACAGAAAGGCGACAGCATCACCTCTACACCTTGAAAATTGTAATCTAGTTCTCTGTGGGTTTAAAGGTGAGTCTCTTTGAAAACCAGCAGGGAGGATTTCACTGTACTGTAGTCGTGTGCTTTTCATTTTAGCTTCACTGAAAAAGCCAACCAATTGTAGGCGGGTTTTCAAACTGCATGGTTGCCTTTTAAAGTGTACTAAAGTCTGCATGAGACTATCCATCCATCCATTATCTTTATCGCTTTTTCCTGTTCGGGGTCGTGGGGGGGCTGGAGCCGATCCCAGCTGTCATTGGGTGAGAGGCGGGGTTACACCCTGGACTGTTCACCTGTCAATCACAGGGCTGACATATAGAGACAGACAACCAGCCACACTCACATTCACACCTACGGACAATTTAGAGTCAGCAGGTAACCTAACGAGCATGTCTTTGGACTGTTCACAGATTTGAGATAAAGACAAAGGAACAGGTTTCTCCCATTGCCAGGCCATCTTTGCAAATAAGGATGTGTTCTTAATGACCTGCCTGGTTAAATAAAGGTAAAATAAAAAATAAAAATTGCTGAAACACATGCTCAACCTGCTCCACCTGCTCCCCCGGCCTCTACATTGAACTCTTAAGAAAGCGGGTAGGAGGTTGTAAATGTGTGAGAGATTTTGGACACACAGTCGTTGTTCACTCCTGGTCTGCTCAGGACAGTTCATTAGAGTCCCCTGGAAGCTTGTTCTGTTTTCCCTGCGTTCTCTGACTTCCATATTTGGTTATTTTGTTTCTTTTTCAGAATGTTGTTCTATAAAATCTGTGCATATGTTTTCAAATGACTTCTTATTAGTCTGATCTTTGCTGTCCACGGATTCAGTATTTAAATAGTTAACAACTCCTTCTGTCTGTTCTGCAGCAGTGATAAGGCTTGAGCTTTCCTCAAGCTTCAGTGTCATAGCACAAGATGGCCACCAGATGTTGCCAAATACCTCTCAAAGTCTGCATGACTTTAATTCAATTTAATGCATGATTTTACCCAAGAGGAAATACATTTTTATACTATGAATACATCTAGAACTTGTGATATTTGATTGTGGATTGATTCTTCTCTACAAGGAAACCTTTAAAATGTCATATCATCTGGCTGTCTGCTCAAGAAAAACATCATGGTCTTCATATTTATCAGCCTATGTGTTGAAAAAATGAAAAGGTGTCATTAGTTTAGCATTAAATTAGCAGAAATTAACACACTCCACTTTCTCCTTCCCTCTCTCTCTCTCTCTCTCTCTCTTTCTGTCTTTCTTTCTGTGTGCAGGACCCGGGACAGGTCGAGATATCAACGGCTCCGCCTGTGTATCTCACTCACTGTGGCTCCTGCTGGCCTGCCTCGCCTGCCTTCTCTTCAAGTGTTAATGCCGCTGTTGTACTCTTCCTCTCCTCCTGCCTCATAGCCTTCCTTCCTCCCTTCCTCCTTCTCCTCTCCAACTCACCGACATCCTTATTGCTACCTTATTACCGACTCCACCGCCCTGCAGACTGTTTGCATAATGAAACGGAAAAAAAAACCCTGATGTGCTCTCCATCACTGCTTAGAGGTATTACAAGAAGTGATGGCTTACGAGTCAAATGTTTGAAGAACAGCAAGAAAAAAAAACAACAATGAATTGAAGGACAGAACAAGCAAACAGCGCTCTCTTTTTATTTCGTATGCACTTCTTTCTGTGCAGTCTTGACCTCGGGGTCAGGATTGCGATTAGGATTTGTTGTGTTTTGTCTTCATGGGAATGAAAGCAGATAATCATTTGTCTCTAAAAGTACTGAAGACATGTCTCTTTTCTCCCATAGATGCATTATGTTACCTTAAATAATAGACTTAACCGAGTGTTTAACCAGTGCATTATTTGACAACATGCAAAGTATCTGCCAAATATCTTTGACCTGTAGAGGTTTGAAACTAACACATTCAGAATTTAAAGGGAAAATACAGCGAGTGATTCAGTTCTGAGATCAAAGCTTAATATTAAAATGACGACAATGTGACGCTATTAGACCGAGACAGAGATGTAGAGCATTAGCCGGATATCTTTCCAATCAATGTCTTTGTTGTTGCAGACGCAGCCGTCTCTTAGCTTGCTGCAGAAATCACGAATGCAATGAAAAGGATCAACTTGATCCACCTGAGCTAAACCAATACGGAGTGCAAACCTCTGAGGAAATACGTTTTGACATCGTCATCCAGTTTCTTTGCAAACCTCGCTCGCCTTTAACCCAAAATAATTCCTCTTTGCTTCTGCAACGGGAGAAAAGAACAACGCAGTAGGTTGTAACAATGCGTGCTGTACATAGTCAAATTTTGTATTTCTCTACGGTAAGACGACTCGTTGGGCCACCGTCACAAACAGGAAACAGGGGAGCCGTTGCAGCTGCGCCGCATTCAGCGACATTAACTGTTCAACATGCAGTGTTTTGCTTTTTCAGTTTTAGGATCATTTCTTCTCTACTGCTGGAATTTGGATAACAAAAAAAAAATGTATGACACCAATGAATGACTTACTTTTTTCTCTTTCAAAGAAGTGTGCGTGTTTTACTATGAAATGATGCAGAAAAAGTCATAATATATTGATATTGAGGTTATTTTTTTTCTTGTCTCTTACCTCATTCATTTTAGTTGTATGTATATAAATATATATATACTTGAATCCAACGTCCTTATATTATATGAAAAGTCAAATTTACGTGTCCATGTTCCGGAGTAGGGTAGCGATTTGTTAAGGACGAATAACTTGTAGACCCTGCTCGATCATAAGAACTGAAGCCCGTTAGACAAATGTTTAAAAAAAAAAAAAAAAAAAAAAAAGGAGTAAAAAAGTTAGCTTAAAAAGAAGATAGTTTTGTGTTGTGAGTTTTTATTGTACCTATCCTTAGGATGATACAAGTGCTGGTTTACATGACAAAAACAGAGGATGGAGAATTACGTTTAGCTCGCTCTTTCAAAAGCCGGGAACGCCATGTGGACGCAGAAAATGAATTCTGAATGCTAACTCCCCACCGCACTGACGGGCCTCTTTATAACGACAGAATATTGCAATCAATTCTCTCATCATCGCGCCTCACTAACACGTCACTGAATTTATTTCCTACTGACCAAAATGGTTCGAGGAGTACTCTTGTGTGTGGACATTTTGTAAAACTCTCAATAACAGTGCAGCTCTTCTTCTCAGAAGTCCAAGCTGTGGTGGTGGAAACTGCTGAAACTGGTGCACTATTAGCTGCCTTCTTTTGCCATTTATTTTGACCCACTGCAAGGCGACTAATAGCATATGGACTCATCAGCGCCCAGTTCAGCTCCTCCTCGTCTCTGCTCTTCTAACAATCAAAGCCGAGATAGTACAAGTACTGTAAAACACACGTGTAATTAATGTCATCCTCGTCATGCACTAAAGCCATCTGTTCCACGTGTTTTCACTGTAAATGCTTCTGAGGCCATGGTTGTGTGACTTTATAGTGTCGTTATGCCATCTGATCCAGTCTGATTTTCATGTGTGGGGAGAGGGGGGGGGTTAAAAAAGCAGAAGAAGGAGAGCTAAGCAGAGACTTAAACTTCAAGACTGAAGCCTATAATAGTGAAATACAAAAGGGTTGAATACAGCATCAAATGAAAGTTTACAATCTGATTTTCTGTCTAATGAAGGGACCAGAGCACTGCTTGTGTTTTCATCATCTTTAACTTTTTTTATTTACTTGTTTTTCTACAACTGACACGGCTGGTTAAGCCACTTTAACTTCTCCTGAGGTTTTTTTTATTTTTACTTTTATTTTACTGCATTGGTATTGGTGCAGACTCAATTAGCAGCCTTTAGCCTCTGGCTAGCTAGAATGCTAATTGATCGGCAGCAATCTTCTTCCTTCTGTTTTTAAGACATGAATGATCTGGACCCCTGTGGTGAAATCGTTCCTCATGCTCAGCTTGCATGAGAGTGACCTGTGCTACATGTCGATTTTTCAGTCGATCAGTCTGTCCGTCTCAAATGTGTTGCTTAAAAAAAAAAACCTCAGGGCAGAGCGAGGCTGGCCTTGGGCAGACTCACAGACTAAATAAAAATGCGTTCTTTGGTTTTGCTGGAGGAGACCCCGGCAGACTTACCAGATGAGGGTCTCCAAACTGTGCCCAGCATTTCATTTAACCTGCGTGGAGAGCATGGTGGAGTAAAGTGAGGAGCTCTCACACATTGTGTTGCTACATTCAATTTGACCGTCATTTTCTAAATGTTCAGTTAATACCTATTTGTGTGTCCATACAGGTTAAAACCAACCCTAACGCACAGACTGACGTTAAGAACATTACTGTAAAAGCCATGCAGCTCTGTCTTACCCACAAGCAGGGGCGTGTCCAGACGGGTGGCATGGGCCCCCCATCCCTCTGAAATCTAATTGGCCACTCCAAAAATCCAAAACAATTATTAACCAGTTGCTTTGGCAGAGGAAGAACTTATCCTAATTAAATCAAAATCAACTATTTGGGCTTTTTGCAGCAGTCTGATCGTAGTTTTCAATGCTGCACAGTTTATTTTATCGTTGCTTTAAATTGTAGATAAATATTTCACTCTTTTAATTAATTTGCTAGGTGCATATGAGAGGAATGAGTTCGGCAAAATCTGCAAGAAAACTCAAGATAGCACACAGCAAAAATACATTTATTGGTAACATTTTGATGCTGAAACATTGCCAATAAATGTATTTAAGAATATTTTTTCCGCAAGTTAGACAGTGTACATCAGTGTGCTTGCAATTTTGAAGTACTTCAGGTTTTTTACATTGGGTCCTGCAAGAATTAAGCTTAGAGGACTTAGATTTAGCCACTAATTTGTGTTTCAGTGTAAAGGGTTAACTCAATGCAACCCCTTCATACGCCAGGGACCAAGTTGGGCCACCCCAGTCAGTCACGCCCCTGTCCACAAACAGAAAGAAATCCTGTCCTGTCATTGCTCAAAAGAAAAACCAACAGCCAGCCTATGGACACAGCACCAACCCCTGTAGACCGACCGAATATCTGCTGACGCCTGTAGACACAGCTTTCTAGTTTACGACTGAGCATCGCCTCAAAAACATCTCCATCGCATCACTGTTGGCTTACATGTGTGTGCCTGTGTGTGCGTGTGCTGACACCTATTCTGTTCATTTATATTAACCTACCTGAGAAGTTAACGTGAGGCATGAGATACACAACGAGTTTTCTGTTGAACTTCGGTTACCACGGTAACCCTGGGTTTTTTATTTAGGAATCTGTTCCTCCTCAGTGTGTGTATATATATACAATATGATGTTTCTAAAGTAGAATCTTGTAAAGTCAGCAACTCCATAAGATCATGTTTATACAACTCGACATCTAAAGATTGAAACAGCAAATGTAACTATCACGTTTGTACTTCCCTTCCCTTCGTCAGGGGGAATTCGGATTCAGTCATGGATTTATGACACAACAATGTCCCGTGTGTCTTTTTTTGTTTTCTATTTTACTTTTCTTTATTACAGCATAAGGTGATTGCAGTCAGTTTCTAAAAAATGATATGTAATAAAGGTATATGAGAAAATGTTCATAACACAAAAATAAAGTGGTTTGAATTCAATGTGCTGTGTTTGGATGTGACTTCAGATGTTGGGAGAGGTAACCATTTTTTTTTAGATGGCTTGAGACACACAGTTATCTTAATGGTACTGTTGTGTTTGTCGGCATAGAAACATGCAAATTAAATAACATATGCATTGTCATAGTTTCTCTGGAAGACATTTTTGTACCCAGAAAGTGACGGAAAAACAACCGAGGGTGTTTTAACACCTGCAGCTTGTTTACTCTGTTCTGATTCAAATGATAAAAATATACATATTTGCATTTTCCCTTGGGTCTTAAAGGGGACATATTATGAAAAATCCACTTTGAAATGTATTTGAACATGAACATGTATTTGGGTAACCTGAGTGTCTACTGACCCACAAAATGTGAAATAAACCCATCCAGTCCTTTGTTTGTGGTCTGCATGAGTCTTACAAGACAGATAAAAATGCTCAATTTCACATTTGCTCCCCTTGTGATGTCACAGTGGGATTCTGGTATAAAAAAAAATAATCCCCTCCCCTCCCCTGATATCTCCACCCATGGACTCCACCCCCAGCCTAGAGGACAACTTTTGGGCAGGTCCGCCATTTTTATTCCCACTAGTGAAGGAGTGATGTCTACTGGGAAAACTCAGGGGGTGCTTTTTGCATTTAAAGAGACACACACACCAAAACGGAGCGTTCTGAGAGAGCTGGTTTATACAGGCTCACAAACCTCCTCTGGTGCTTGATTCATGTTATATTTTGACCAAAGCACAGCACAGATGTTTCATTTAGACCACAGGGGACTGTAGTATATGTCATCTTTGATGTGTTCACATTGCGTTAAAGCATCTGGCCAATCTTGGGAAATATCAAGTAATGGTGACAACTAGTTCATTTAAATCTGTGTAAAATTATCTTTGAGCTAACATCTTTTATATGTGAACTTGGAACACTGCACGCGAGCCACAGCAGAAAACACAGCTGCCATCTTGAAAGCTGTGATCATATTTTCTCTTCCACGTCTGTCATATTAGTCAGGAATTGAATCACGTCCAATCACTGAATTGTAACCACTCCTAAAGTCAGTGCGCTCAGGGGAAACACACCAGCACCCTGCCCCGAAATGTACCGTGTCAACCAAAACATGAAAATCCAGTCAGAGGACAGAGTCACTGCAGAAAGTCACCACCACACTAGTATGGAGGCCCAGAAGTGATGATTGAGTGCCATTATTTTCATAAAAGTAAAGTCTAAAATCTTACAACCTTTTTCCAATTATATTATCATGAAACTCAGGACGCAAGTCACAAACAGAGCTCCAACCACAGCATCCTCCTACGCATAAATGCTGTGTGTTGCTAATATTCCAAGGGTCGGCCAGCTGACATCACCACAGGACTCATGTTAGCACTGTGAAAGCAAATTGGAAAAAAGACTCCTGAAGAGGTGTCGTTTTTTTGGGCGGGGAAGTGCAGCAGCATGCAGGAGAGTCTGCAGAACTATTTGGCCCATTGCCACAACACAGGCCCTTTATACCTCATCACTGGGCCACATGCAGCTGCAGTATAGTGTTTCTCCACAAGGTGTCATAACAAACCAAGTTATGAGTCAGAATGAGACCACAAACAAGAAGCATCATTATCAGCTTCTGGCTTTGTGGAAGAAACACTGACATGCTCCCTGCATGTCAGTGTAAGGGTTAAATTAAAAAACAAGCCTGTAGCTACAGAGTTCCCATCCTGAACTTACACAGCAATTTGGACAACATGCACGTTGAAAGTATTTGTTTTTAATAAATATGAACCAATTTGTAAAGAGCCCAAATGCAGCAGTGAAGAGTCACTCTTTTTGTTTTTACTATTGTTGCAAAAAAAACTGAGAACCAATGTCACTTCTGCTTCTTACAGAGGAATTATTTGGAACAAAAACTATCTTTAAAGTATGAAAGGAAAAGGTAGATGCATGACTCAGGAAGGAGAGAGGAACTTTTGAAAGCAGGGCTGCATGTTTGAATCAGCTTCATTAGCGTGAAGGTCATGCAGTTCTTATGAGACTGAGGTTGGCATTTACGTTACCTTGGAGTTATTCATCATTTCATTTTTCACTGAACCATTCTAACTTGGCAGAAACGAATAGCTACAATTTAAACATCCAGCTATTGGAAGTGCTCTTGCATATTTTCAGTATGTCCTATCTTTCACAAGGTGTTTTAAGGATTACAGATTATTTGTAGCATTGTATGTGAGCACTGTTTTCAGAAACCTTAGACCTGATCATCCTGCTGTTTGCTCTCTCTTTGTTGGTGTTAGATTAAGGGCTGAAGAGTCACTTCCATGCGTATGACCAGAAGCTGTAATTCGATCCAGAAATAAACTTTTTTTTGTGATTCATAAGGACTACTTTTTTCATTCAAAAGATACTTCTGCACATTCATGCAATTTGCATCAAATGCATGTAAGGTGATGACTCTCCTCTCCTAAATATGTTCTAAACACCTTTCATACATTCAGCCAATATTTAAAGTTTGACTTGCACTTCATTTACTTACTTATGCAGGGGTGGCATGAAGTTTGGGGGCACATGCAAACAAATTAATCGTTTTTTTTAATCCTTTTTATACCATCTAATGATATGAATTTATAAGTAACATAATCTGGCAACATTTAAATCTACTTATCTTAATTTTTCAGGGACTAAAAAACAAATATGTAAGCGCAAAGTTACAATTTAGAAAATTGTACGCAAACTCTTGTGAGCTGTCAAACTTTTTGTATTAAAAATACATTTATTGACAGGTATGTCCATTGTAAGTTAGATAATGTGCATAGCTTGTTGCTCTGATTTGTTCATGGACTAAGCATAGAATGCAAAGTAATTATTTACAACTGAAAGTACTAAGAAAAATATAAACTACTGCAAATTAACATAAAGAAAACTATCAGCGGCCTGTCGAAAACAGCCAGAAAAGTTGATTTTAACGTAAATTTCGCCTCTGATTAGGTGAATAGCAAATCTTAGATTTTGCTATTACGGGGTGGCCAATCAGATTTCAAGGGGGGCCCATGTAACCCCTCTGGACACGCCCCTGCTAGTAGATAAATTGGTGCTGTAATGTCTCATATGGCTCATGAAACAAATACAATTTCTCAAGAGGAGTCCGATGGGAAAATTGATTCCAAAAAATAAAACTATGAAACTTCAGCTATTTGTCAGTTGGCTTAGCATGAAAACTGGAAATTTGCACCAGAGGTAATAAAAGCAGAAATTAGCTCTCTTATTTCTACTGTATGTTGGATCTGTTAGCTACACTTTAAGATTTCTATGCAACCATCAGAGTTTCAGGAAAGATACTGCTACAACCGGAGCTTCATCAAACCAATACGCTCCTTGAAACTACTTTTCTTTTTTTTTTTTTTTATCATTGCACAGACACATGCTAGCTGTTTCTCCTTTTTTCTACTTATATACTTTGCTCTGTTTACAAGTCGCCTGCTGAAGATCGATAATAAACAGACAAAAGTTTATCGATCTTCTCACCCCCCTCTTGCCGTGAGAGTAATACCGATTTCCCCCAAAGTTTAGACACTCCTCCTACGTCATGACACTCGATAACGGCTAACATGATGTGAAACAAACTCCACAGTTTAGGATGGTAATTGGCACATTTGCTTTATTTTGAAAACAGACATTGAAACCATTTTTTATTTTTTCATATTTTTTTCTCACAAGTTTGAACTCCTTGATAAGGTTGTAACTGGACATTGCACTCACTGGAACATGGGAAAAGAATTTTTTGTTTTGCTCATTTGTTTGTTTTTCCTTTTTAACGATTTTTTGTAACATCAGTGCAAGAGTATTTTTTTTTTCTTCTTCTTCCAATTCATATAAACTGTCATAACAACACCAAAAGACATCAAAAAAGAAGCCGCCACACCTCTTAAGTTTTTGTGACTGCGAAAAAGTTCCTCTCAGAGGGAGAGTTCCCATCATGCATTTGGTTCGATGGTTCATGCTACTGTTCTCACTTTGGGCTGGCAGAACGTCGTGTAAGAGCCAGATATATCAACACTATAGAATACCTCTATAGTTTATTATATGATCATTTAAATGTCAACAGGTCCATTACTGTATATGTGAGTAAACAGAGTTTGTAAAAGGGGTGTAAACAAAGCTTGAAAGACTCAAGCAGAAGGAGAGAGAGAGAGTTGTATTCTTGTACTATATGTGATAATGGGATTCAAGATAAAGCTACCCAACTGGAAATATAACACATTTAAGGATACATTCTATTCTCCATACAGGGAGTCAGTACATTAACTACTTGCTGTGTTTTCAATACATTTGTACGGCGTCGAAAACTGGGGTTGCATTTTTAAAACCAGCTTGTTTTTGTGCGTGCATTTGCTGTATCACAGATTTAATTTTGCAAAAATGGGCTAAAAAGAGGGTGCACTGCGATGCAAAATCAAGGATGGTGCATTCACAACGCATTATTTTAAATGTGTAAATATCCAGTTGGGAGCGTTCACTCCAACACTGATCCACTTACAATAGATAGTGATGATGTAACAAATCAAATCCTCTTCTTTTTCATCATCTACGTCGTCATGGTAACAATCTTCTTTTCTTTTTTTTAAATTCGTAATCAACAACAACGTCATCGTCACCATCTCTTCCTCGTAGTGTTAGCTTGAGCCAAAAAACTATGACACTGGAAACTCCCCCCAAACATGAGAAAATCATTGCCACACAAAAAATGACAAACAAATAGAAACTGACTGCCTTCACATTGGGAAGGCAAAGAGCAACCATTTTTAGATTTTTGTTTTTGTGTTATTCTTCATACTCTTTAATTTCTGCTTTCTTCAGGTGAGACTGTGTCTTAGTCATCCTTGGACTCGGTGGCCTCCGCCGCTGCGTCCTCAGGGGTGGCCTCCTCTGCGTTTGACTCTTCTACAGCATCTGAGAAAAGAGGGAGACAGAAGGGTAAAGAGGCAAGTGAGAGGAGAAAAATGAGATGTAAGGGAGTAAGACAGGGGGAGGGGGGCATGATAGATAAAAGGTGGGGTGGAGAGAGGAGAGAGGAAGGGAGAAAATTAGACTGTGGAGATGAGGTTTCACATTGTGGAGGCTGGGATAATAAAAACCTTCACTGGTTCTTTTGAGATACTGAGCTTCAAAGATTTCTCATGCCAGCTGCTACATTTAATGTTTTATATATTTCCCCTCAGATGGTTCTCTAGGTTAAAAAAAAAAACAGGATACTGTAACATTGAGCAATCTTAAAAACTCAGTTTAAGGCTGGAGAAAGAGATTCACGACAGGATGTTCACTAGATGTCAACTGCACTAAAACTGAGCGCATGTCAGTCAGAAGGTGCAGTCTTATGTCTGGATTCCAGCACCGGCTGTGTGAATAATAAAAGAAGAGAGTGCTCCTAATGGACCCATGAAGCATTTGAACTGACATCTCAACGCTAACAGCGCCATATCGGCTTGTCACATCTGATTCTGTGTGATGCCCTCAGCGTGCCGTGCTGTAATAACATCCAGTGTTTGGCTCGCTTAGAGGTGAATACTGCTGAATAACGATCCCTGATTCAACACCAAGCCCATACCACATGAGGCTGTTGGATCAAAATGGCAACATCAAAAAAAAAATCTTCTTTAAAAATCCAGCTCAGTCAATTATTTGCTGTGAAAATTGTGTTTTTTAATATTTATTTATCAGCATTCATTGAATACTAATGTGCATGCGTGGGTTCTCTCCGGGTACTCCGGCTTCCTCCCACAGCCCAAACACACGCTCATTAGGTGAACTGGAGACTTTAAATTGCCCGTAGGTGTGAATGTGAGTGTGGCTGGTTTTCTGTCTCTATATGTCAGCCCTGTGATTGACAGGCGACCAGTCAAGGGTGTAACCCCGCCTCTCGCCCAGCGGGATTGACTCCAGCCCCCAACAACCCCGAACTGGAAAAAAGCGGAACATATAATGGATGCATGGATGGATAATTGAAAACTGAAAAATGGTTTATTTCCTGATAGGGCTACAATGATTGTAAGATCTATATTTTATGTTTCTGACGAAACCTTATATTCAAGTACCACTGAGACTGATGATGTCATCCCATGGTGATCTCATGGTATGACATCATGCTCTTTTAATAGAAGCAGGAGACATCCAAAGAATGACATCATTGCATTGGAGATCGGGGTGACGGAGTGCATGTGTGTGATCGAGTGTATGCGTGAGTGTCTGTAAGAAAGAGAGAGGGAGAGAGAGAGACAGAGAAGGTGGTCTGTGTTGGTGCTTGTACTGAAGTGCCCATGTGTTCAGTTACATCTTTCAGGTAAGAGCTAATTAGCCTGTTAGCCGGTTTGACAGTCTTGAGTTTGTCTGTCTCTGAAACAAGTGAACAGTATGATGCAAATCCAATTTCACCCAATTCAATGTGCCAAAACTCGTCCTTTCAGAAATCCTGACATCGGTGCCAATTATCCTCACCGGTGATATGACGACTTAAATGCTGGTGTCATTTTTGCTGATGCATTTTCAAATAAGAGCCGAAGAGGGGGAAATAAACACTCTTATATGACTCTTATCTGTGTTATCTATTACAACGTGGATTTCACTGAAGATTTTAATAAACAGTGCTCTGTGACCCAATACCCATTACTTTAATTCAAGTATGCAGCCAAACATAAGTCCAATGAGATACATGCTTTTTTATTGCAATGGTTGACTACGACCAAATGAGTCAATGAAGCAGAACGCTGCCTTTTCTCATCAGGAACAGGTTGGAATAAAAGAAATTCCAGCAGTCCTGTTGTGAAGTCTCTGAACTGGACCAGAAGATAATCTCATTGCACATATGTTCAGCAACAACTGCCTCACAATTCAAATCTCATTTCAAGCTATAATAAGCAAAAAGGAAGGCCTGCATTGCAAGATTATTCTTTAGATGTACGTACTGATATCGATGGAACAAGACACTTAACAAGTACATTTTGCTTTCTACATTTTTAACTCATTACTAGCAGTACTGCCCTTGTTTTATGCTTTTTTATATCTTAAAATGATATTTTTATTCGGACTTGTCAGTGAATATGGCTTAAAATAAGTATAATGGGATATTTCTGACTAAAACTGAGACATATACGCTTGCTTACATTTGAGTTTTTGCAGTGTATCCGGTAATATGTCATCCTGCTTTGACATACAACTTGGTCAGATGTAACTAATGGAACCAGTGACACAGATTATGCTTGGTGGAGAATCTGGATCATACCCAGGCTGCCTCATAAATTATTCAGTCAGATCAGAGTACCTGCCGTCCTTGTGCATGTGACTCCAGTCTGTGCGCTGACAGCCATTAACCAATCACTGTGTAATAAATATTAATTTGCGCTCTGCTTCAGTTCAGTTGGTAAAAGCAGATTGTTGCCAGCCGTGGATTCTTAATTAGGTGGGGTTCTTCGTCAAGTCGTGTTTGTTTGTGACAGACTTCCCCGGTGCAGATCGTGACCAGTAGGGATCATTAATCATTCATTGAAATCAGAGCACCTGTTATCCCTGCACTGCTCTCCGCGCAGGCCAGCTATCCCATCGAGGTGGTGGTAACTATGACAACAGGGAGACAGCGCTGCCTAGGTGACCTAGTTTCCGTGTAGTTCTCCAGTTGGCGTGTGTGTATGTGTGTTTTCCCACCTCACACCCCCGCCTGCTCGAGACTGAACATGCTCCATTAACTACCTGTCTGACCCAGTCTGAGAGTCCTTGGACCAGAAATATGAGTTCATGTCAGGAATGCGTCGTCGGCACGCTGCATCAATGTTATAATGTCATTTCATGGCCTTCAAGTTTCACTCAGATAAATGTTTCCACTATTGGACATAAAATGTTGGTCTCTTCTGAAATCTATTAGCTCTTCTGGAGGTATGGAAAAAAAGGGATATGATCAATTATTCTGCCTTGCTGTAAAGTGTCAAATGGATTTAATAAAGCCACGTTCACATCTGTTTGCATTCATAATTAAATCAATGATTGGGGTATCAGATGAAAATGTTGGTCTTAGTTTCAAACAATTAATATCTTCATTAACAGTTATGACTGTGGAGGAAGCTGACTGTGTGCTGCACTTGGAGTCTCAGACATATTTCCAAAAATACTGCATCGTATGGTTTTGTATGGTATGGTATGTTATCATGTTGTACAGTATCTTATGACATCTCCTCATATCATATCTTGTCGTGTCTTATAGTATGGTATCGCATCTCATCGCCTCATATTGTGTCCTGAGCATAGAATTTAAATATTAATGGATGAAGCCTGGGTGATGTCACCCATCTGTTCCTGCAGGGCTCCATGAGGCTCATTGGCGTCAACCGCCATGCTGGAAATCCTGTCTCAGCCTAACTTTCAGTCAACCTAACGACAGGCTAAGAGCTGGAGCTCAGGCTGGTTTTAAGCCTCTTGACAAACCGCGCCCACCAGATCAGGTACGTGCCTAACTATGGATAACAAGTATCGTTCATAAAATCAAAACGAATGCCTTGTAAAAAAAATCCGCCCTCCGTACAGTGTGTGCCTGTGATGACAATAGCTAATCAGACCAGTATGGTTTTTCAAACCAGGCTGTAAACATGTTAATCCCTGCTTTAAAATTGGCCTTTAGAATGGGTGTGTATGTGACTTCCGAGGGTCCTGGAGCCAGCCTCTAGTGGACACTCGATGAACTGCAGGGTTTTGCACTTCATTTTTCAACCCCAGAGGTTGCCGCTTGGTCGTGTCCTGTCATGTTGTGTCGTATCGTATCTCATCGTCTTGCCTTGTATCATATCGTGTTTTGTTGTATCGTTCAGAACATACTGGCAATATGCATCCATTACGTAGCATCTTACCTTACCAGCACTAATTACTTAAAACCCATTACTTCTATCCCATTCTCTGCCTCATCTGTATGGACTTTCCATCTTGCAGAAGCTGCGATACAAGGCAGTCTAATCTAATATTGAGCCGTGTCTCTTTGTTAACCAGTGAATGGTGGAGCCCTGCCAAGTATCTTTAAATCCCCAAGACTCAACAAGCAGTTGTTTTCTGTGGTGCCTGCCAAGCAGACGACTGAAAAGCTTACCTTGTCTCTTTTTTTTTTTTTTTTTACAGTAAGTAATTGCTTCTTGATTAGCAATTGTGTCTGGACTCAATTTTTGTCTCTGAACCCGATGCCCCTGCAAATATGTGCTCAACTTATTGTTTGATTCAGAGATTTTGGAGGAATCTTCCTGTATCTCATGTAAGCTTATTTTATTTGGCATGAGCTCGTGTGCATGTAATGGATTCTAACTAAGTTATTCTTGAATTAAAGGATGTAAAAGCTTTTGGTGTAAACTGCATACCTTGTTTATCTTTTGTTTGGTTAGGCTCCTCCTTCTCAGCTGTCGGGCTGACAGCAGCAGGCACATCGGCTTGTCTGGCCTCCTCCTTTTTCTCCTCACTATCCCCCTCCTCCTTTTTCTCTTCAGCTGTGGTGGGAGTCTTGGCCGCCGGTGCTGGGGCCTCCACCTCTTTGGGCTTCTCCTCTGCTTTCTCCTCCACCTTTGGCTCCTCTTTCTGGGGCTCAGAGGACGCTGTGGCAGCTGCAGGAGAGGCAGCGGCAGGGGCCGCCGCTACAGGAGATGTTGCTGCGCCTACAGGAGAGGCAGCAGCAGCTGCTGGAGAGTTAGCTGGCTTTTCTGCCACTGGGCTTTTGGCTTGGCTCGTCTCTTCCCCCTTTTTGGCCTCCTCTCCTGCAGCTTCTTCCTCCTTTGCAGGTGCCTCCTCTCCCTCAGCTTTCTTTTCCTCCTCTCCTCCCTCCGTTGCCTCCTCTGCAGCAGCAGGACTGTCGCCCTCCTTCTCTTCCTCTCCGTCTTTCATCTTTTTCCGGGTTATGTGTCCGCGGAAGCTGGCCTGTATTTTGGTGGCAGCCTTGTGGGCCTTGTCCTCAGGTTTGTTGGCAGTCCCATCCTGTTCAATCTTCTGGTCTGCATCCTCATTCTTGTCCACCTGGTAGCCAAGAGAGTATACATCAAGTTAACATCCACTGTAAGCCATCATGCAGGTTGTCTGGAAGCAAAGGGTTGTTATTCTAAAACTTAAAGAAATCCTGTTACTGTAGGATATATAGCTAAAGGATGAGCCCCTCAAAATATCATGCTTGTGTACTCTTGTTGGGAATTAGAATCCTACCAAAGGAAGATACAGTCTGTCATGAGATGAAATGTCAGAAAATAATAGAAGTATGCTATGAGAGAGGGGTTATTGCTTATGGAGTCATGAATCACCATTGCTGGAGAATCATAGCCCGGGAAAAGTAGGGTTAGTCGGGTTTCAAGACGTGTTTAGAAGTAAACGTTTAGGACCGGATGAGGTACAGGGTTAGGAAAGGGGACAGAACACAGTGTAATATTGAAAGGCGTTCCATGATATTACCTTCAGTTACTGGATCCATACAGTAGGTGTCCATCAATATGTGGGTTGTGCTATGAGTCATATAAATCTAATGAAAAGAAATCAAATCAAATAAAGGAATGAACGATGAGCAAACAAAATGAATCATTACATTTAAAAAAAAAAAAATGAATAAGCATTCAAATCAAGGTAAAACATTATCTTTAGCCAAGAGTCAACCAATCAAAAAGCTCTGAATGTGCACTTTAAATGAACGTGAATAAGCAACATAAAGCAAACACAAATTGTCAGAGAGCGTGCATGCAGTGCAGCTTCAGTTAGCCAGAAGATATAAATGTGGAGAAGTGCAGAATCAAAATGGTTTTGAGTGTTTCTGTCTTTCGAGGCATCAAGTCTTTTTTTTCCCGGAGCCACTAATTGGTTTGACAACAGAATGGATGTTCTGCATTTTATCACATCATGTGCTGGAAAGAGTGGATTTTGAAGCATTGTGGGGTTTTTTATTCTCTGCTATGAGACTCACAGATCTGTGTGGGGGTTGATTGTCTACACTTAATTAAATAAATTTACTGGGATTTTGGAAATGACTCCAGGCATTTATTGCTGTTATTCAATCCAGGCATGGGGGTGAATATTGTCCTCTTGATAATGGTGCTGAAATAGATTTATTGAATAATCACCGTAAATGTAGAAACCTCTCAATAGCATCCATTGCTAATAGATTCATCACAGTTACCAGGGAACAGTAAGCGTTTAAAATTTAGGCTCTCTCTGCTAAATAATGAGCCACTCTCTATTCTCTAGGTACAGTAGCTTTCTACGGCTCCATTTCTGTGCTGCTAGGGAACGAGCTGCCTGCTACAGTCTCCTCAGCATTCACTGCCATACCCCTCCCAACCATCAAAGGTTACCTTGACAACCAGAGTGCTAACTCATCACGGCGCTGTCTGCTGGTTGGTGCTATGAAAGACTATATGTCACCCTGATTGGCAGCCACCTGACCCCTCAGGGGAGCGGGCCAATGGGGAAATCGTAAATCAGGCGGGGCAATCAGCATGGTTAAGGAGGGGTTGTGTGTGATGCAGCGGTAGGGTGCGGCGCCAGCTGGTGGGGGTTATACACGCGTGTATATGTCAATGCTGATGGTTTGTGTCACTGAGCAGTAGCATCTTGTTTAAGGTCAGGGAAATTGAATAAAAATGGCTTTGAAAATGCTCTTTTTCAGGACACATCCATCCATCTAGTTTCTGATACCGTCTGTATCTAATAGTCTCGTTATATTGGACATGAGTTTGACTTTAGCGGCTGTGTGAGGAATCACATGTGTGTGACATGATTAAAGAGCCAGAGGCCCTAAAAAACCAACATGTCTTCTTCAGGGTCAGTGTGTCAGTCCAATATTGGAGCAGGGAGGCCAAGGCGCAGCTGTGTCAGAATATTCGCCTCCTCCACCTTCATCCACATGCCATCCCCAGGGTTCAGGGTGTAAATCCTGCCTCGGGACTTTCAGCAATTCTTAATATATATACCATCTTTATGAAGCAATTCTGTGCAACATGATGTAAAAAAAAACACACACATGATTGTGGATTTGTGAGGGATAGGAAATCTTTGTCTTCAGCTTCACACTGCTCTTCATGCTTAACCTGAACTTAAACTCTTCATGCTTAACCTGAGCTGTTTAGTAAGGAAATAAGTTTAATTATCCGTCCAGTTATTGCGACAAATATCCAGCAAGGAGACAGACAAAGCACCGCCGCCACACCCTCTGCTCTTAATAATATGCATGTCCAGGGTGACTTATAGGGCTTTTATTGTGTCTGATCTCATGGGTGCTTACAATTGCCAAAAATTCGACCCAAGCACTTAACTCTAAATAGAATTACTTACTGGCTGCAAAGAATGAGTCAGACAGAGGGAGGGAAGGAGAGAGAGAGAGAGAGAGAGGGAAGGAGAGAGCGATGGATGAGGGTTTTGGGGAATATGAGGGTATGACATCATTATTGGAACAAAGGGGGATGTCATTTACTTTAGAGATCTGGGTGTGTGAGTCCAAATGTAATAAAACACCAGCAGAGCGCCAAGTGATCTCATATCAGTGGAAGAAGACGTTGGAAAGAAAGATCGGCATCATGTTTGGTTTGACTACAGTCCTGGCTTCATCACTTGATGTGTTGATATTTGCCCGCGTATCACCCCTCAAAGTGCTGTGCTGTGATTTCCTGACTTGTGTGTTCTCCTTCAATGGAGCGGAAGATTCAGTTGGAGCTTTACTTTGATGTGTCATATCAAACTTATTCAGATGAACAATACTTAATGACTGAGATAGTATCTAAATTAACATGTGGTGTTATTTAATCATTGCTTCACATCCTGAAAGAGTTTCTTCTTCAGGGGCTCTGACTGTTCAGTGAACCCTGGTCACGTACCCTCCTGCAGGCGCTATCCCACTCTGTGGCTGTGCGGCACACATTTTCATTCATAAATACAGCAGCACCTCCCAATGGTAAAAAATGTACGCCTCCCTTTAAAAAATCTTTACCAAGGATCCTCCACTGTCTACCCTCCTCCTTATTTAATTTGCAGTGGCGAAAAAGCATATTAGCACTGTTTAGGTTAATCAAATTACTTATCACAACAAGCCCGCAGTGTTTCCTCTTGGAACACGGTTGCCATAGATACGCTACATTCACTGAAAGTGTTTATTAATCTGGCAAAAAAGTGGAATGCTTGCAAAAGAAAAAGTGCTTTTCAGGCATGATTGTGGAACAGATCGTGCAATCCCGCTGCAATTATTTAGCTTTGATAGTAGAATGAAGAAAGCTTCCAAGCCTGCAGTACGCTTTGACATATGAAGGTGTCATAAAATCATCGGCATCATCATGTTTACAACCTAAATCTGCACGACAGCTTGCATGTTAGCGTGCAGGTTATTTTTATCCGAACACAAGAGGACAGCTTCCTTTGTGCTTCCTGCATTGAGAGGTAACACACGTCAGTGCTTAAAAAAATGTGTTCAGTCCATTATCTGACAGCTTGATGTGTCTATTACTGCTTTGTCTATCAGCTGCAGTCTGTGTTTGCTCCCTGTCTCACTCTGTCCTTGGGTGGGCACCGGCTGTCGTGAGAACCACACCCGAGAGTCAATGGCTTTGCCGATTGATCTATAACCACACACACACACACACACACACACACACACACACACACACACACACACACCATCCCCCAATGGTGACACGGTTACGATCCACCACCTTCCCAAAGCCTCATTGCCAGGGCCATTAGGGACATGTTTTGGGGGAGGAGAGGGAGGAGGGGTTTATAGTTGAATTACCACAGACCCACAGCTAATGCTAATGCACATACCAAGGTGTGTGTATAATCATGCTTGTTTTGTGTCTTTTAATTCTTGTCCATTAAAGCAGGAGAATTCTTTTTCACTTAGCCGCTCCGCCCAACCAGGGATTGAATACAGCTAGCAAGATGGGAACGAAAATATCAATGTAATATTTGCATTCACAATGGTGGAGTTTATCATCTACCCAACAGGTGCAGCTACTCAGAGTGTATTAGATCTAAGCCACTGCTGCGTGTTATTATTCAAATGTGTGTATGTTGAACCAGATATTAGTAATACAGCCAATTTAAAGGAAAATCCTCAAACACTGCTCATATTCTTACAGTTCCCAAGCATTCATAGAGATGCTATTAGCTACGCTGCTGGTGGCACACATACTTCCTCTCTCCTGAAAATCCCGGCTGTAATCCAACGTCTGTCTGCTTTTTTTCTGCAGGAATCATCCAGACACCAAAGACGGGCTGCTGTCTGCTGTCTGTTAAATCTCTCCCCTTCTTCTTTCTTACCACCGTCTTTCACTCTCCTCCTCACCGTGAAAACTGCTACCCACTCATTCTCTCTCTCTCACACACACACAGAAGCACACGTATACAGACATAGCGGAGCACCACACCCTTTTAGCCGGCTATCTCCTGCAGGAGAGGAGAGGGGGGCTCAGGTGGTGACTGCCACAGCCCGCGCTTCACCATCCCTCTCTCTCTCTCTCTCTCTTTCCCTCTATTTTTCTATCCATCTATCTCTCTCGTCTTTGACGGTGAATTGATGAGCGATATTAAAGGGTGTGCTGTGTGTTTTACGACAGCTGAAAGGGAAAGAGATGCTCCGCGGCAACTAATAAGCAGCCATATGCCGGAGTCATTACATCCTCTGGAGCTGCCTTTAATTCTATTACATCGACTCTCTGCCTGAACAAAGGCTCCGCTATCGCCACTGATCTCATAAGGGGCCAGGCAGGGGGTGAGGCTGGGGAGAGGAGGGCATGTGGAAGTGCAGAGGAGCTGGAGGAAAGTGGCCACAGGGTGGTTCTGGAGGTTTTGGTGGAAACTACAAATACTGATTGGGTTGGTGCTTTGGCTGATGGCGAGCTCTAGGAAAATTGTCTTTGAATGCATAAGGAGCTACAAAGTGAGAGGATATTTTTTCGTCTTTAATGAATCAAACTTCATCTTGTTTTTGGAGTTTTTTCCAGAAGACTAAAGGCTAACAGTAGACACAGGGCAGGGCAGGTCCCAGA